GGAGACCTGACCCATGCGGCCTCTCCAAAAGCAGACGCCAGGCTTTGGGTGATAAATACTTCAACTTTTGCCATCTGAAAAATGCATTTGAAAGAAACAGGAAAAGCTCTCTGTGCATCTTGCAGGGAGGCTCATCATAGATTGAGGTGGGGAAGGAGGAGAGAAGGTTCCTGGATCACAAATAGTTGATAGCTAGCTCTCACCAAAGAGAGGTTACAATGTTCTAGAAATCCACCTTCCCTAAGGAAGGGAGAAGAGCCTGAGCCTTCTGGGAAAACTCCAGGCCTTCTTGTCTTAGGAGCCTTTGAGAGGCTCCCTAACCCAGCTCATGGACAGAAGCACAAAGGTGCTCAGACTTCAGGAAGTCTGTAGATGAATGGGGTAAGGTTGACTGAGGGAACTGAGGGCTGCAGAGGGAAGCATGCATATGGGGGAAGGAGCTTTCCTGTGAGGCTAGCACTCAAACTAGAGTGTGTCTAGTTGGCCCTTAGAGAATGGGATCTTCCTTCAACATGAGGGTGGATATGTGCAAGTATCTTTAGGGCAGTCTCAGAAGTCTAACTACCTGCTTCTCTCTCTTCTTTCCTAGACACCTTCCTCAGGCCCAGGCCCTATCAATAGCTGCTGTTTATGACAGCCCAAAGGTGTGCTCTCCCCACCAGTTCTCTAGTGATGGGAAGTGATGGACTGGACTTGGATGTGCCTGTAGCAGTGCCCTGGACCACACTGGGTCAGGGTGGAGATTGGGAAGCAGGAAGAGGGTGATACTGATGGGAGACAGCACTTCCTTAGCTACCTGAGCCCGGACTTGAAGAGGGCACTATGGCACTATGGAAGGGAGAGGACCAGAGCTGGTTCCGGGTGCTCCAGGAGGCCAAGCAAGAACACCAAAGTATCTTTCTAAGGACCAAGATTGAGAGTTTGCCCCTTCCTCAACCTGTACTCGCTTTGGGAAATGAGGACTTGGATGGCAACTCGCGCCCTTCTGGGAACGCTGGCGACCACTGGACCAGGCCCAGGACCAAGTGTCGCCGCTTGTTCCGCTCCAAGGGCGAGAGCTCAGGGTCTTCCCTTCCGGAGCTGGTTATCTCAGCTAGCCGCCATGCATCTAAGGCTGCCCGCGCGTGTTCTCAACAGGCCGTGTCTAGTCCACCAGAGCAAAGCCCAGAGACCGCGGCGATCTCCTTCCAGCCTACAGTGAGGACGTGATAGGGTCTAAGAAAAAATTGGAATGCCCCTCTTCCCCAAAACACACGCGCTTGCGAGTACACACGCAGATACAGAGACACGCGCGCGCACAGACGCGCGCGCGCACATACACACATACACATACACAGGCACGCACCCTTTGCTCCCCTGGCCCGAGAGCTGGAGAGGGGACGCTTTAAAAAAACTTGGTTAATTGGCCAGACGACCATGTGCGCTCAACGGTCCTCTCCAAACACACTCTCGATTTTACAAGATCCCTACCATCACCACCATAACTTTTCCATAAATGAATCAGAGCAGAACCCAGTCTCCGAGGTAGCACAGTCTGCTTCGTTAAACTTCTCAAAATGTACCAGGTGGCTCTGAGCATCCAAATCCTCCAGCGCTCTGAGGCCGCAGCCGCCCTCACTCCGCTCCGCGCGCGCAGGCGGGAGGGCGCAAGGTTTGAGCTAGAGCCCAGCAACCCGGGCGCCTCGGGCGGGGCGGCGCAGCCCGGGACCCAGCGACCCGCGGGCACGGGCGACCAGCCCCGCGCAGCACTTGTCCGAAAATAGCCCGCCTGACCACAGCCAGCCCTGGCGCTTTGCACCTTAAGAAACCCAAAATAAGGAGTGGGTGAATTGGGGAAGGAGGGAGCCGGGGGAGTATGCACCGTGTATCTCAGGTATGAGCACTTTTCACTGACATTGATGCAACTGCATTAGAGTTAATGGCAGCAGCCTGCTTCTCATTATTAATTGTCTTTGTGTTTGGATAAAGTATGTAATCTTCTTCTCAACCACACCATTAAAATAGGTTGCCTTTTCAATTAAGAACTGTAGTGAGCACAGCAGTCAATTTTCCTAATGAAGATGCATTATATTTTCACTTTTTTTTTTTAATAATGGAAAATCCCAGGTTTTCATTAGACGCGATTACGGAGAAATACAAGAGGGTTTCTCTAAAATTCATGCGGTCATGTCGTGCATTAAACGCCAGGCTTTTAAATAAATTGAAATTTCTGCAGATAAAAGCATGGGTATCAAACATGTGCAAAGCCACTTCGTTCAGATTTTAAAAAAGCAAACACGATGAGTTCATTTTTTTCAAATGCATTTAACAGATATAATAATAAAAACAAGTACAGTGACTGAAAATACTTCTGTAAACTTGTGTGTATGTGTGTCTGTGGGGGGGTCTTTCTAATTTACAGATGATTTGTAGATCTCAAACTAAAGCAGAGAATGTTGAAAATATACTGTGCATATTTAGGTTATGTGAAGCTTTCGAACAAATACTTCAGGCGAGATCATTCAGGAGAAAAAGTGTCCAGACTATGCATCTACAATTAGTTTTTGTTTCCTTCCTTTCTTTCATTTTTCTTTCTCTTCTTCTTCTCCTTTTTTTTTTTTTAAAAAAATGTATATATATATATTTGTAGACAAATTGAAAGCTAACAAATTCTGGTAGAACTGTATAAAATTCTATGCCTTTTGTGATAAGCTACTTTTTCATTGTAAAAAAATATCTAAATTCTATAATTGAAGTTTTGAAGCTGGTCAGAAATATTCATTCCTGGATATTAAGGTAGAAAGTTTATATCTATGGACAAAAGTGAAAAGTGTGTTATTCAGTCTCTAACCTTGGGAATTGATGAGCATGTAGTGAAAAGGATCTGTCAAGATCTGTTTTCTTTGTTGATAAAAAATTTAGGTTACTATCTTTTGCACATGAAATACTATTTGGAACAATTTCTCTCTTTTCTCCTCCCCATTCAATGTGAACACACTCTCTGAGGAGCCACCTTAGAGAGTAGCATTTAAAAAATAAATAAATAAATAAGTGAAATTCTAAGAGGAAGAAAAAAGTTCCCTTCAACAGCCAGACTTTTTCTTTGTAGGACAATATAAGTTGGTTTCTTGTAGACATGATCTTTTCCAGGTTTTAGGTGTCATGTCTTTTAAATGTTGAACTTTTTTTTTTTAATCAACCAGCCCTTAAAATGATCTGCAAAGAGTGGGAAATTAGATTTTCGATTAAAACCTTATCCCATCTCGAAGGATTACTTTATATTGATTCTTAAATATGGCTACAATTGATGGGCTCTAATTAAAAATCCAAAGGAAAAGTCTGTCGTGCCCGTATAAAAGAAGCTTTTCATATACAGGAAATAAAGCTTGTAAAAGGTTACAAATAAAAGATTAGAGATTTATCCAAACTAGTTTAAAGCTTCACTGTGGTTTTCTTTTCTTCTTTTTTTCCTTTCTTACAAAACCATTCCTGGGTCTTTTTTCCGCCAGTTTTAAATGAAGTTTGCAAACAGGCAAGATATTGGACTGTAATGGTTGTTTTATATCACCTCTGTAAGCTCAAGGCTGCTGCCTGCAGTAGAATTGATTTCAAGGAAACTTCAAGACCAGGAGATGAAAATTATGTAAACTGACAGCTACCACCCTTCATCAATCCATCCACATTCCCATCCACACCCTTCCAACACACACACACACACACACACACACACACACACACGTTTCATCTCTCACACTCACAGAACTCTTTCCTATCCCTCACTCTAACCCTGCTCTGTACACACCCTTGGTCCCCACACTCCCAGGGACAGATGCATAGCTCCCAGCTCACACTCAGCTCATAAATGTCTCACAGCCCCACATCTTGCACTTGTCACACAATCTTAATCCGTTTCATTCCGGAACAACATGGTCCTCTTTTCCTTTTTTTTTTTTTTTGCATTTGGAGTTTGCCTCCTGCTCTTTTATCAAGACAGCACAATCCTATCTTTGAAGTTGTTTCTTTCTCCTTTACTCTCTTTTCTAAGGCGACGGTAATGCAGGGAGTGAACAACCCAAGCTTAGTTCGTAAGTGATCGGTTGCCTTACATTTCCCCTCAAATTCGGCTTGCATGGCCAATATTAAATTGTGGTTATTATTGATTTTGGCAAAGTTTGTAATAAAGTCATGTCTTAAAAACTTAATGAAAAATGACTTCCTTCTAAAGACCGTGGTAGATTTCAGGCAAAATGTGGTCCCTCACTGTCCACTGAATTGCTGAAAAGATTGGAAATTAATCTTCATATTTCCAAAGTGGGTGTTCAGAGCATCTAACTGTCCCCTTTTCCCCAGAGAGGTTGTTCTCACGGAATATGGGTTTTGTTCTTCTTTTTTTAATTAGCCTAGAAGAACGGGGACCTCTCTGTCTCTCTTCCCCCCTCCCCCAACTTAACCCTCCCTCATAGTTAATAAACTTGGAGGAAAGTTTGAAGTATTTTGTACTGGCCAGGCATGTGGGATGAAGAAAGGAAGCCCAGTTAATGCTAAACATGAACTTAGATTTCAAAATATGAATACCAGCCATATTCTAGAAACTGCATGCAAGCTTGACAAATAATTTGCTTCCTTGTGTATTGTTTTCTTAATTTCACTTCTGAATACTTATATGTCATATGCTTAGCAAGATAATTGTACACTTGGCAATTAAAAACCATCCACATGTTAATGAAAATTGTTTAAAAGCACAAAGCATGCTACCAAAAGTCAGATTGATTGAAAAAAAATTGAAAAACACAGAAACGGGGGGGGGGGAGTTAAACCCATAGAAAAGAAATACAATGAGCAGATAGTAAGTATATGGGAAGTTTAAGAACTTACTGAAAATCAAGAGTTAGAAGTTTTCATCCAAGGACTCTTTTCCTCCCACCAAGCCTCTAAGGTTTTCAGTGAAACAGCCCAGCCCCCCTTCCCCCAAAGCCAGTGGCTTTTGTCCTGACCTAGAGTAGGGTTTGTGGAAACTGTACCTGAGCCAGGCTGTCTGCAATTTCCAAATTGACAAGAAGAGACTGGAAGATAAAGAGCATGTTCTTACAGGTGAAGAGCAATTTTGCAACTTTCCAGGCGACACCCAGGAGAAAGCTTGCCTGCTACCAACTGCTGCAGAGTCTGGGCAGAATTCCTCTAGAAAGAAAAAGAAAGTCTTTTTTTTTTTTTTCCCTGTCTGAATCTCTCTGTCTCTAGTTCTCTTTCTCCTCTCTGTCTCTCTCTCTCTCTCTCTGTCTGTCTCTCTCTCTCTCTCTCAGATCCAATCTTTTAAGAGCTTCAGCACATTGCTAAGCTAAAGGGAAATTCTCTTTGATAAAGCGGTGTTTCCAGCTTCTGGGTTTTAAAACCTAAATCTATATTCAAATCTGGCTGAAGGTGTGTTCTGGGATTTATGAAAGCCTCTTAAAGGGGTAAATTTACCAAACCGTGACAAAATCATCACAATCTTACTTTAGACATCTGAAGTGGATGAGAATTTTAAAGAGACCCTTGTTTATTTAACACTGTCCATTTCCAACTCGTGGTTTATTGGCACCGTATTTCTGCGAAGTTAAGACTAGAGGGCAAAGGAGAAGCGGGAGCTGTCTGCTGCGGGTAGCGGAAAAGGGGGAAGCCCTCTCACGCCCCATCGCGAAGAAACCTACCCCTAAAAGAACCCCGGAATTATCAGGGAGGCTCAGCTGCCCGGGGTCATCTTAGAGGACATCCCAAACCTCTACTTCAGACTTGAGAGGTTTCCCACGATACTGGACCCTACAACAGAAAGATCTCCCAATCCATTTTTTTTTCCAGTCACAAGCGTGTGGTCTAATATTTCTCCACCCCACCCCACCCCCACTGTCCCCAAGGCCTCCCTGAGCCATATCCTCAATGTTCATGTTTCTTTTTCCATCTTTGATGCCTTAAACATCATTATGATCAAACTGGGGAAACCCTGTCTTTTGTTGGCGGGGTTTTGGGTAGGAAGGGACACTCTGATTCGGGTGACCGGCATGGATTTGACCTTCCTTGATCGAAAGCGTGGTGACTCTGACCAAGAGTACCCGAACTGGACTTCAACAGCCAGCGCCACCGAGGACAGACTGCCTGGGGCATTTGTTCCCTCTCTCCCTTCCCAAATTAAAGGCCTGAGGGGCAGTCGCCAGGTGTTTCAGCACCGTGGGGGAGGGGTGATTTTAAAAGGTCCGTACTCACCCTCCCCCCCCAGCCCGGCCCCCAGAAAGTCGTGACTCCTGGGAACGCGACAGCCAGCGGGTTTCCTCAGACTGGAGCTGCTGCGGAGGGCCCGGGAAGAGCAGGGCGGGCCCGGGGCCGCTCCGGGACTCGTGGGGCCGCCGGGGCCCAAACCTCTAGAGACACCTGCGAGTCGGGCTTCGGCCTCAGAGTGCCCAGCCCTAGGCCGAGCCGGAGCCGCAGCCCAGCCCGGCTGCTGAGAGCTTGCTGCCTCGTGCGCACTCCCGTAATTCGTTAATTGCTGTAAATCCCAAGGACGGCCACATTTGATTACACATACAGTATAAGAACCGACAACAAAGCGACGAATTAATTACCAACTTCATTAACATAGGTCCCCAAATTAAAGGCAGCGAGCTGTTTCTTTGGGCCCACTTGCCCTGGTGGTGGTGGTGGTGGTGGTGGGTGGGTGGGGGTGTTTAGAAAGAGATTTTATTTTTTTTTTTCCTGCACTGGTACTTGTGAAGGTAGAGAGCTGTCTTGTGCTCCCGCCAGCCCCACCCCCACCCAACCCCCGTGCACACACTCAGTAGTTACATTTGTCCCCCTACCACCCGATACTCCGCCCAATCTGTTTCTGCCTTTCTAGGGACTCGATCGGTGGGAAAGCTATCGGATCCTCGCTCTCTGCCAGGCGGAAAAGTGGGGCTGAGGTTAGCTTTCTCCGGCTGGGGTCGCCTGGTACCAACACCTCCCTGCCTCCCAGCTCTCAGACCTGGTCTCTCGGGGCGCCAACCCGGTGAGCTCCGGGAGGCTCCGCAGCCTTGGGAGTTGGGTGGCGTTTGTTCTAATGCAGAAACTGTTTCCAGCGGAGGCTCTCGCCCACACCCGCACCCGCGAGGCCTGACCCGGGCCCTCCTGCTTCCTCCCAACCAGCCTTGGAGTTAGATTTCGGGGCTCGTGCTTTTTATAGCCTTCCGTGGGCTTCTCCACTCCAAAAACACTGAACTGAAACCCGGAGACTAGATCTCCCGCTCTCGGGGACCAGGGGATATTTATAAGGACTTAAAAAGAAGAGAGAGGACGCCGAGTTTTGTCTTGTTTTGAATAGTTTGTTCTTTGGCTTGGGTGTCTGTCTCCATCTTCCCTGCAGGTCCACAACTCACTCCCAGGCCTCCTTCCTTCACTCTTTCTAGCCCCAAGGTGGTCTGGCTCTGTTTGAGAGGACGTACTCTTTTTAAGTTTCAGTATGGCTTGCTTTCTGTCTCTGATTCGTACTTATTGCTAGTGTTGGAGGGAGAACCCAGTTCTCTCTCACACCCACCCTTCTCCAGTCTTAAATATTTTTATCTTCCTAGCTTAAATTGTTTGTTATTTTATAAAATTAAAACCAAAAGGAAAGGGTACAAGAAAGGAGTGTAAAGAAATATGAGGGAAAGAAGGTAAGGGGAGGCCTCCCTGTCCATCATTTTAATTATACAATTAGTTCACATGCGCCGGCCCATAATGTATATTTTAAGCGGAGCCCAGTGTCTTTCAAGAACATTCTGGTAATGTCGGAGGCCTGGATTTGTTGCCTGCTCGTCCCCCCGTGCAGCAGAGGCCTGTTTTCCTCCCCCTGTTGTGTGTTTTTATTATTTTCCCTCTGGCTTAGATGTGTCAATCATTCTCTCCCTGCCATTGGTTGGAGAGTTTGCGTCAAAAAGTTGCCAGAGAGGCGCTTTCTCAGCAAATCTCCCTGAGAGCGGAACCGACCTCAGCTCCAACTCAGCCTCCACTGTTATTAAAAATAAAAATCGCTACAGCCGCCCTCACTCACCACGTCTACTTTGTATGTATCTTAGAGGGGCGCACGCCTTTCTAACTCAGGCACTTTCTTCATATTCTGTTCTCTCTGGAAAAAAAAAATAATATATTTTGGTTGTGTTCGACTTTTATGGAAGGGTGAAGACTGCAAGGTTTCTAACTGAATACTCTTCATTTCTTTTAGGATAGCTGGATATTTGGGATTTTGAAGGATAATTTGATTTCCCCCCCCCAACCTCCAATGCGGCTGTAAGGTAAGTGTCCGTTTGTCTTGTCTGTCTATATCCATATCGATGTATCCCTCTGTCTGTCATCACCCTCGACCTCCAATAGACCGACCCATGCACCACTGCGAACGTGGAGTTCATCTGAAGCCCGATGTATTTTTTTTCTCTTTTATTTGAAGTGTAATAACGATCATTGAGAAAAATTGACAATCTGGAGAGAGGGCGGGAGTGGGAGGGCGGGAGGGAGTGTGCTCCCGGGGGTCGCCACTACTGCAAATCGTCGAAATCCTGCGAATCTAATCTGGGGCGTTTGGGAGGGGGGTTGTTTGTGGGTTTTTATGTCCACGCCATTCTGGGATTTTGCCTTCGATCTTTTGGCCCCCACGTTTGGTTGGGGTCGTTTGGATTGATCCCAAGGACGTTTTTAGAGCCCGAGACAAAAAGATGCAGATGTAGCTAGGTGGGTGGGTTAAAATAATAATAATAATAATAATAGGGTAGAGGCTTCCTTGGGCCCTTGGGCCTGAAGACCAACTCTTTTGCGGGTCGGCTGGGACCGGCAGCCGCCTCTCAAACCCCCAGATTACCCCTAAAGAACGTGAACCGAAACCCGAGCGGTTAACCCAGGAGGCGGGCAGCGCCGGCGTCTCCTCCACCCCAGAGCTCGCCTCTCCTTTTTTGCTCGCCTCTTCCAAAGCCAAGAACAGCTCTGTTCTCATCATCTTCCAAAGGCTTCCCTTTCTCGTATTTTTTTTTTTTAATCACACCCCCCACCTCAATCCCTGGGAGTGCAGCTCCCCTCCCCCTACCACACACGGTAGTCGTGATCCTAGACCTGGGTCACCAGGCCGAGGCAGCGAGGAAGTGTGGTTTTCCAATGTGACTTTGCCGAGGATGCTTTGGTGTGCGCTCCGCGTAGCCCTCCGCGCGCACCTGGGGAGTGCAGAAATGGTGGCGAGGGGCCCCTGCTCCGCCGGAGGCCGCAGCCGGGCTGGGGACGGGAATCCTTCCGCTGCGGATCTCGGTCCCTCAGCTGTACTCCGTCTGCGGCAGCGGTGGGGCCTGCCCGCGCGCTCTTGCACTCTCAGGCTCGCGCACATTGAAGGGTTGTGGGTCCGGGCCGGGCCGGGATCCAGGGGTTCGCAGAGGCACAGCCTCTGCTCTGTCTGTCCAGCGAGAATCAACAGAGGGTCTCTGCCAACACTGGGCCTGAGCGACGTGTCGCGCCGCAAACTCCGAAGAAGTCGTCGTGTTGATGCATTCAAGTGACTATTGAAAGCATATGTTCGATTTCAGGGCACTTTTTTTTTTTTTTTTAAATTTGAAACCCAAGTGCTCTATCAGAATTACCCCTTAACAGACAGTGGTGGTGTGCGGAGAAGGCCGAACTTCGTCTACCCGGCAGTGGAAGATTACTTGGGGGAGGGAGGGGAAGCCGCTCCTTGTAATATGGCCCTCCATCAGCATTTCTCCTGCTCACCTCGCGACTTTTTCTAGCCACCGAAAGTTATTAGCACCAGAGGAGTTGAGAGGAAACTCCTCCCCCAAAGTAAGGTAGACACCCAGGCTTCTTCCAGAGCTAACTCCCGGGCTTTCTCCTAACGATAATTAATAGTCAAGGCCAACCCTTTTGGCACGTTTCTTCCTCCCTCCCTCGCGGGTGGCAGAGTTGTTTGATTCCCTGCGGCCAGAAACTTTCACTCGAGTTTGCGGGGGAGAGGCCAGCGCCTGCTGTTTTCTGCGGTGCCCGTACATCTTCTTTTTCTTTCTTTCCTCCTTCTTGCCTTCCTGGCCCTCTCCGTCGTCTGTCCCAGCCGCACAGTCACCAGTCCGCGTAGTTTTGTTTCCTTTCCATCATGCAGAAAATTAATCAGCCAGGACGAGAAGCAGAGCTGAGCACGGCGGCCTGTAATTAAGGGACGTGTGCCCCTCGGATTATCTCGTTAGTTTATCAAGAAAACATTTATTATAATTAATTCTCGGACGAGGTAATTATTATTGAGCGAGGACACAGCAACTGGTAGATGGGCTTCTTGGAAGAAAAAAAAAACAAGGTGGGGGGAGGGGGAAGCGACAGATTGCACGAATTGACCGTTAGATATAAGGCTGCGCTGGCCGACGCGGGCAGTGGAGCGGGACCTCGGGCGCCCGGGCTGCGGGGCTGCGGGGCTGCCGGACAGGGACGCCGGACCGAGCCACTTGCGCCCGGGGGTGCGGGCGCCGACCGGCTGCTGGGACTCACCGCACTACCGCCGTTTCCTCCTAGGCATGAGTTCTCCTGAGGCCACCTCGCCTCGTGAGCGGTCATACTGAAAGGGTATTTCTTTTTCCTCTTCTCCACTGCTTTGAGAGGAAGGGGGACAGGCGTCCGTAGAGGGATTCGAAAGTTAGAGAGAAGGGCCCACGGCCACTTCTTGGGGTAGGGAATACCTCTGTTGGTAGTTGAGAGTGCCCCGTGGTTTTGTTTTTGTTTTTGTGTTTTCCTCTTTCTCTTTTAAAGGTGGATCCAGTAGTCAAAGTGAAAATAGTCTATCCTGAGAATTTTAGCCATTTGGTGATGGGCAAGGGCAAAGGAACTCCAAGAAGGCTCTCGGTCCTGTTGCTTTCTATTACTGCTTTTTATGTTGGAATGTGTTACTTTATTGTATGATGTGTCAGGCATTTCTAATTGGATGAGAGCTAGACATGTAAGAACACTTCCATATTTCTCGTGTGTACTTTATGGCTAGCTTTCTCTATAGCAGTTCAGAACTTTCCAAGGTAGTAATGTATTCAACAAAAAAAAAGGACTCCAGCTTAGGGGCTATTGAAACAAATAAATGATCGTATTTTAAAGCGATGTTACTTTCATAGCCTCTAAATAAACTGCATCCTGAAAAGAGAAGAATACAAAACAAATTCTTTGTAGGAGCAACTGCATTAGTTTTACTGATTAATAATACCAATTCCTCCAAGAAGGACATTTATAAAATTACATTAAATTATATCTTAGGGTGAAAAAGCATGACTTGTGCTCTGAATTGAAATCATGAAGAAGTCCCAATAACTGAGTTCCATTAGTGGAACTTTGTGCCTCTATGTCTTAAGTAATATAAATATGAAAATCTAACGCCCTTAAAACTCATTTAAGACCTTGGTAAAAGTAAGAGAGAACTGCTAATCTTCTATCCGCCATTTTGAGGAAATGTCCCATAGTGTCAAAGTTTCAAAGGAGAGATCCTTGCAGGATGAGTGCCACATTTTAGGAAAATAAAAGCAGACCTGCAAACTGCTAGCTAATGTATACATCTATTTTGAATCTCTGTACTGGGAGGAGGCAGGAAGAATTCAACTAGAGAAAGTAAATAACTTTTTTTTTCTTCCTTTCCCCTCCCACCTCCCAGCTCATTTTCTTAAAGTGGGGAGAAATTGCATTAGTTTCACAACTTTGGGTGTTTATGTATCTGTTTTCTTCAAAACTAAAATGTGCAAAAGCCAGTTCCAGTTAACAGGAAACTTTGCTGCTGAGCACCCAACTGTCGGAAAATTTGCCTCCTCTTGTAGCATCTGCAGCTTCCACACATCAAATTCAACATGGAAGCGGCTTGCACTACAAATGTGCACCCTTTCTACTTGCAAATGTTGGGGCCTGTCATTATCTGATTGGTGAGATTCTAACTTTACTTCAGAATTTCCGGCAAGCCCTATGCCAATCTTGAACACTTTTTTGCAGCATGTTTAAATATTTGATGGATGTCGCTTAAAAGTTAAATACTTGTTTGTTTAGCTTTAGTTGTTTTAGACACATATAATCAAGGTTCTCCAAAACCCTAATAAATCTGTTACTTACCTCGAAATCTAATTATCCAGACTACTAATTAGGTGAAAATGATTACTGGAAATGACTTTAAATGTGGAATAATAATGGTTGGGCAGTTTTCTCAAGTTTGTTGTTTAGCAAGTTGGTATTTTAGATGTTTAATGCACTGACATTTTAGGTTCGCAGCAGTTGAAAGTGGTAAAAAGCTAAGATAATTAAAATCTCTGTCATGGAAAGGCAACAGTCTGGGGAGAGGTAGATTTCTTGAATTGTTTCTTTGTTTCTCACCAATGGGCTTTGTTATCAGCATTATTTATTTAGCCAAAGAGTTCTTTGTCTCTGCAAATGGCCCCAATCAAGTTTTGTTTGAGACAATTAGCTAGTGCCAGCCAATGAGTTCTATGCAAATGTTGGGATAGGAATGCAATGTGTGTATTTGAAGGCGTGGGGTTTTGTTCTTGGGGAAGGCAGATTGTAATTGCTTTCTTAGGGTCTTTTTTTTTTTTTAAGTTTAGGGTGGGGGTGGGGAAGACAGGTTTATCTGGTCTCCCTCTATCCCCCCTCTAGTTCCCGAGCAGCTGGAGGTGGAGGTGGAGGGGGGTTGTCTGCAAGTCCTTTAAAAGCCTCTGCCTTGCGGAGCCCGGGCTCTTTTTAGTTAGTGGTGGAACGTGAGAGAGCTGCTGCCTCCGAAGCAGTAAACCAGCACCTCTGTTTGTTTGTTTGTTTTGCCCTTAGTTCCACCACTGCAAACCCACCCACCAAGGACCCTGAACCTGTCCACCCCAGGCGAACCGAGATCTTCCGGCTGGGTCTCCCCCATTTGGGCCGACTTTGCACCTACAAACAACCTTAGCATGATGTCTTATCTTAAGCAACCACCTTACGCAGTCAATGGGCTGAGTCTGACCACTTCGGGTATGGACTTGCTGCACCCCTCCGTGGGCTACCCGGGTAAGTGAGCTCTCCCCGCACTCCTGCCCCGCCCTTCCCCACGCCCGCTCCGCGGGGTTGTGACACCCTTTTCCCCCCATACCTGGGTTTGGAGGTCATGCCGACCCCATCCCAGCTCCTGGTGAGGTCCCTGCTGGGTTTTCCTTGCTAGGAAGCATTGAAGATCAGGCATTTACTGACCGAGAAGAGAACAGGGGCTGGGAAGAAGCGAGTAGGTGGGTCTGCAACAGTTGCAGAAAATCATGCCACTTGATTCGTAATTCGAGTGACTAGTGGACACGCATTGGGGTAGAGTGAGAAAGGTTACTGCCCTTGTCACTTGGGGGCGAGGCCCTTGCTTATAACTCCACTCCTAGTTCCTCCGAAGGGCCCTCTTGGAGAAGCAGAGTTTTCTCTAGTGCGTCCTTTGCAGCTCTCCCCGCCTCGCCCGGACTTCTCCCCTGACCCCCAGTTCCTTCTCCTTTAATCCGGGGAAGTTGTGACTCCCGCAGATGCGGGTGCTTTCCTTTCCGATCAGATCTGTGTGTTTTTTTAAGCCTCATAAAAGTACGAACTATGTTCCCATTTCAAAGATGGAGGAATAAAGGCTAAAAGCCAAGGGAGCGGGATCCAGATTCGCCCGATCAATCCGAGCTTCCTGTCCTCCGAGATGCTTTGATTTAACCGAGTGGCTTTTTCGTTTGTGTTGTGGTTTGAGGTGGATTTGGGAGGATTGGGGCTTTTTTTCTCCCGCTTGTTTTGTTAGCTTTCGAAGTAATGCTCTGGCTGGGTGATCTCCGAACTCATTCAGAATTGGGTGCTACTCTGAAAAGGGCAGTATGTCCTGAGTCTCCGGAGCCGAGGCCCCTGGAGGGGAGAGCGTTGGGAGGGGCGGGGGGGAGAAGAGGGGGGAAGGTGGGATAGTCGGAGGACCCGCGGAAACCCCTGTGACTGAGAAACTGCTCCCCCACCCTAAAGGGCCCTGGGCTTCTTGTCCCGCAGCCACCCCTCGGAAACAGCGGCGGGAGAGGACGACGTTCACCCGAGCTCAGCTAGACGTACTGGAAGCGCTGTTTGCCAAGACCCGGTACCCAGATATCTTCATGCGGGAAGAAGTGGCGCTGAAAATCAACTTGCCTGAATCCAGGGTGCAGGTAGGGCAGATCTGAGCAATTTTTCCTGACGGTGCCACCCCTCTCCCAATCTGGATGTATGTTGAAGACCTCAGAGAGCCCTAGATCTTTGCTAGGACCAAAGGAAGACTCTATGAGACTTCTATGAGACTATTGGTCCCCATAGAGACTCTATGAGACTCTATGGGGACCAATAAACTAATCTCCTTTCTCCCCTTTTTTGCCTCTCCCTTCTCATTTAGTCCTACCATCAAGAGTCTCTCAGTCCAGGTTGCAAGATGAGAGTGTCAGTTAAGCTACTGTCATGAGTCCTTAGGGGTCTGGTGGGCAGAGATTCAGGTAGTGGCAAGGTTTTAGCTCTTCCCTTCCCCTATGTGGAAATCCTCCCCTATATTCCTGGACTTTGAGGGGTGAAAGAATCTTAGCTCCTCTGTGGTCTAAATATTTTTATAGATTAAACAAACAGAGCAAATGACTTGCTCAAGGTCATACCTAAATTTGGTGACAGAGCCAGGCAAGAGAAACAGGTGGTGCTTTTACTAAATAAGTTCATACAATAAAAATGTATTTTGTTTGACTTCTTCGGGATCAAATCAAATTTTCTAGTTCTAGGTTATTTAGCAGATAAAATGCCTTTACAATATCTCTAGTAACACACCTCTCCCTCGGTTTAGTCCTCCTTAACAGGGAAAAATCAACTCTGACTTGCCTGGAAATCAAACCCCATTCAGAGTTCTCTGGAAAAAGTGTTTAGCATCTAAACCACACACACACCTGGGTCTCTCCTTCAGCTAGGACAAGTTTGTGACACTGCCAGCCATCAGCATGAACTGCAAAGCAGAAAATGCCTTTTCAAAGTGGGTTGGAAGAAGTTTTAGCACTTGGGAGGATTGAATCAAAGTCCTCACTGGAAGAAAAGAAATGGCTCTGAATGGTTGGTGGCATTGAGTGTGGCCTTAGGGGCACCACTTTGCCACAGTTATAATATCAAAAGGAGAGCTCATTCAAGAGGACAATTAAGGACTTGTACCCCAGAAAATGCCAGTAGTTCTCTGATAAGCCCCCTCACACACCAGACACTGTTCCTTCATTACAGAGTGTGAACAGGGCTGGTAAAGAGAATTTTCAGAGTTGTAGGCAGAGGTTGACAGGCCAGTGAACATAGTACAGGAAATGGCATCTATGGGCTGAGTGGCACTACTCTGAAGGCACAGATTTGAGCCTCGAAGATTATAGAGGGGTCTCTCCTTGAGCTCAAAGAAGAGAACATCCAAGTCACTCCATTCATAAAGAACCTTTCAGCAAATAGTGGCTTTTAAGACAGCTTTTCTCAACAGGATCATGTCTTCTGAGCTTTCTTTTGTAAGCAAGTCTTTCTAGGAGAAACAGAATATAAGGTGATGGAACCAATCTCCATATTATCTGTGGATCCCTGGAAGAGGGAATATAGACTGTCTGAATTTAAGCTGTTGTTGTTGGCATATAACAACATTGTTCACCCTCTCTTGTGTCTCCCTCCAAAAGACATTCCACCATGAATGCATCAAAAAATATAATTTTTCTATGTGTATGTCTATTAAAGGAGAAATAAGAAAGTGAGGTGGAGAATTTTTAGCCATATGGTTTGGGATTTTTTCTTAAAAATTTATTGTTCTGCACTGGGGACAAGGTGGGACAAGTGCTTTTAGATAGAGCCTCCCCAACTCCAGAAGCAAATATGAGGGTGCCTCATAATGGGTCTCTAGTAGCAGGGAGAGTATCTACTTAGTTCATCTGTCTGTGTAGGACAGATTTCTGTCTAGGAGCCACTCTTGTCCCTGACGAGTTACTGAATCCATGTTAAAGAACTTTCTTTCCCTTTCAAGGTATGGTTTAAGAATCGAAGAGCAAAGTGCCGCCAACAGCAGCAGCAACAACAGAATGGAGGTCAAAATAAAGTGAGACCTGCCAAAAAGAAGACATCTCCAGCTCGGGAAGTGAGTTCAGAGAGTGGAACAAGTGGCCAGTTCACTCCCCCCTCTAGCACCTCAGTCCCTACCATTGCCAGCAGCAGTGCTCCAGTGTCTATCTGGAGCCCAGCTTCCATCTCCCCACTGTCAGATCCCTTGTCCACCTCCTCTTCCTGCATGCAGAGGTCCTATCCCATGACCTATACTCAGGCTTCAGGTTATAGTCAAGGATATGCTGGCTCAACTTCCTACTTTGGGGGCATGGACTGTGGATCTTATTTGACCCCTATGCATCACCAGCTTCCTGGACCAGGGGCCACACTGAGTCCCATGGGTACCAATGCAGTTACCAGCCATCTCAATCAGTCCCCAGCTTCTCTTTCCACCCAGGGATATGGAGCTTCAAGCTTGGGTTTTAACTCAACCACTGATTGCTTGGATTATAAGGACCAAACTGCCTCCTGGAAGCTTAACTTCAATGCTGACTGCTTGGATTATAAAGATCAGACATCCTCATGGAAATTCCAGGTTTTGTGAAGACCTGTAGAACCTCTTTTTGTGGGTGATTTTTAAATATGCTGGGCTGGACATTCCAGTTTTAGCCAGGCATTGGTTAAAAGAGTTAGATGGGATGATGCTCAGACTCCTCTGATGAAAGTTCCAGGAGGCATAGAAGGAAAAATGAAGGGCCTTAAAGGGGCCTACCAACCAGCAACCTGAAATGGACAAACCAATCTGCTTAAGATCCTCTCATAGTTTTAGATCATTGGTTTTCCTGATTTACAAAGTGATCTATCAAATGCATTCTAGCCATGTGCAACCAAACACAACCAAAAAATAAAAATCACACAACAAGTTGTGAGGGAAGGGAGGGAAGGTCCTAGCCTTCATAAGCAGAGGTTGATCCAATGTTTTAGCCAATCCTTGGTTGAATCTTAGGAATGAACAGTGTCTCAAGCTCATTCACGTTTCATGACCAACTGGTAGTTGGCACTGAAAAACTTTTCAGGGCTGTGTGAATTGTGCGACTGATTGTCCTAGATGCACTACTTTATTTAAAAAATAATGTTCATAAGGAGTCAATATGTAGTTTAAGAGACAATCAGTGTGTGTCTTATATAAATGGTACATCTGTGGTTTTTAATCTGTGCTAGACTTCAAAACTGTGATCTCCTGTTATTGTATGCAACCTTGAACTCCTCCTCTCCAGGAGTTCTTCGTGATTAAATAGGTTATAATTATAAGCAAAATTCAGAGCAACTGAGTACTGATTTTAAAAGATTACTTTTGGCTGGAGGTGAGCTGCACTGAAACTTTACGACAAAATGTCTGGACAAGGAGAGTGAGAGAAGAGAAATAAAGGACATTAATTCATCTGTATTTTACTGTTGGTAAGCCTAGCAGTAAAGAGACATTGGTCAATTGCTCTGACCCTGATGAATTTTTAAACTGAGATCATTGTTGTTTATGCTTGCAGATGTTAACTGGAAGTTATATATGCATAAACCTTTTCTTCCTGGATTTGGCAGATATGTATAATTATATTAAAATGGTTCTAGCACAACATTGGGTCTAGTTTAATTTTACACCACTATTTATGAATGAGAATCCTACATTAAGCTTCACCTTCCCAAAATGTTTTTGGTAGAGCAGCAAGGAAATTAGCAATTTTTACTTTTTGCTGTTGATCGATGGATGAACTAGATATGAATGACAAAATGGTTTGTAAATTATTTGGCTTCCATCCGAATTGCTCTGAAATTGAATTTAGAGAGCCTAACAGTCAATCATTAGGATCTTATTATCCTTGCTCTTCCCTCCCTGCTACAAACCTGAATTATTCCTTAGGCACTTTATCAGTAAGTTTTTAAATAGGCGGAATTTTTAGAAGAAGAACTGGAATACTTCTCAGAAAAATGATAATAACAGGAATTTCTTGTTACTATTCTCTTATTAGGGGGATTTTTTTAAACTTCTAAAAAATATTCTGAGGTAAACATGAGAGGGAGTGTAATCAAGAATCTGAAAGCAATTCAGGCAGAAGTGATTTCTGAACAAAAGAGTTTCAGAAAACTTTTAAAACCTATAATTTCAGTACTTGAACATAAGGCAGGCACCCTGGTCAGTTTTTTTTTTTTTTGGGGGGGGGGAGAAAGTGTTAAGGGGAAAAAAGGGTCCCTTTTCATTTGTACCTGCATTTTGTTCAGTCATTAGAAAAGATAAATGGGTCAATGATCATGGTGCTCCTCAGGTAAAAGCAATATTTAATTTCATTTTAAACTTATCATGTTCTTAAATTTGACCAAAATTAGTGACTTTTGATTGTAACTTTTTAAATGAAGGTTAGCAGTTGCAACCATTTTGTTTTCTGTCTAGTTCATGTTCCCGTCCTGCCTGCGCATGCTCTCTTGAACTCTACTTCATCCAGCCTAATAGGTAAACTGTTTTCCTGCTAAAGGAAATACAATAATGCAATAGCTTTACAATCAACACTTACCCTTGAAATTTGGCAAGATTTTCCAGTACCTACTGATAATATTCATCCTTAAACCAGAAGTAAAATTGGGGCCGAGTGTTTTAAGTTTTTCTCAGATTCAGAGTCTTAATCTCCCAGCTTTTCTCCTGCAATAGTAGAGCAGATCCCAAATAACCAATTTCGCACACTGCTTTGAGTTTTCAGGAAGCCTCACAAAGGGACGGGAAAGATTACCTTTTCTTAAAAAGCAATAATGACGGCAAATGTCGGGCTACTCAGCAAATACAGAGTTTCTCAACTGAAACTTAAAACGAGGTTAGAAAGAGGAGGCCTAAGCATCCTCTGAAACTAATTTTTTTTTCCATCACCTTTACACAACTTCGTTTGACTGAAACCACGCAGTTAAATCCCGTTGGATGATGGAGAAAGTAGAAATGAATTCCCCCTGAGCAAAGGCAACCGAGGGAGGGAAAGAGGGCGGGGAGCGAGCACTGGCTTAAAGACAGCCAGAGAGTTTGATCACCACTGTGGTCAAGACCGGATTTAATGAAGTTAAGCCCAGTGACAGTGTTCCCTGGTACTGAAATGACGCTGTCCTCCAAAAGCTTTCAGGACGCTACTTCAGATGCATATTGGCAATTAACGAAAAGTGAGACGACAATAGAATAAAGGGGCATATAATGGAAGGCAGAGATGAGGGTAGAGGTAGATGGTTTTGGTAAGATCAGTTGCCCCAAACCTTTATCTTTCCCACAAAGATTCTTGGCCCTTTGCATTTCACCTTGAGAATGTTTCTTCCCTTCCTAGATAAGAGAAATCCAATCAAGTCAATTAAGTTCGGGCTTTGGAACCCCCCTGGTTTTAGATAATGGTCAGTTTTCTCAACTCCCTCTCCCACACGCTTCCCTCTAATCTCACCTTTGCTATTAGTGTCCCCACCTCAGCGCTGTCGCCAAAGGCGGCAGACGTGGAGGCTCGGGGCGGGACTGCAAGTAAACGTGGTGCGAGGTGTGAGTTCAAGGCGGCCCACGGAGGCCGCGGGTGCTGTGCGCCCGGACTCACGGCGCTCTTTCTTAAGGCTTACATTTTCCAAATCTTGAATGGCAACTGGAGTCACCTGGGGAAAGCACTCCTATCTCTGCCTCGGGGATCCCAAGCGGGGGTAGCTGAGCCAGTCGGTTTTGCAAGCTGGTGCCGCCCCCCTGGGCCGCTTGCACAGCTCTGCGGGACAAGGAAGGGGACTAGGTGGAGCTTTTCATCAGGCCAAGTTGCGCTCTTTCGTGCCTGGCTCCCGTCCTGTTCCGAACCCGAATCCTCTCCGCAGCCGCAGCCCGCCCACTAGGCCCAGTGGACTTGGGCTGAGCTCGCGTGCGCAGACCCAGAGCCCTGGGCCTCGGTAGAGCCAGAGGCAGCGCCACCGGGCCTGCACGCGGGCGGAAGCGCAACCCCTTCATTCCAGCCCACCCGGAGACCTGAAGGCAGGCTTCTGTTGCAGCAGCAGGCCTGGGCGCCTGTCTCTGGGTAGCCTCAAAATCTGGCAGAGTTCTGGGGTCACGTCGGCTTCGGGGGGTTGGGAGTGGCCCCGGCAGGAGGCGAGCTCCCCGCGCCCGAAGGAGCTAAAGCAAAGCCGACTGGCTCGGAGAGAGTTGGCCAGAAGGCGAAAGAGACTGGAGGGGCCCACGGCTGCTAGTTTTCACGACTCCCGGGAGGTTGCGCTGCAGACGGCTGGGAAAGGGACCTGTCTTCCAGTCAGTGAAGGGACAGGCCGCAGCCACAGCCACCGCTGGGCCTCCTGCCGCGCCTGCGGCCTCTCACGTCCTGGGACAGACGGGACCCAGCTGGTCCTGCCTTGGGTCCCCGGGGACCCTCCAGGGAAAGCCAGGTGCTTTGGCTAGTGGGTCTGGAGGATTCCGGCCCTCTGCTGGGAGCCCGGACGCTGAGCTGGGGGTTTTCAGGGGGCGGGGGGGGGGAATTGTTACCCTTGGCTCATCCCTTTTCTCCTACTCCCCTGTATTTCGTTTTCCCTCGAACTTTCTTTCTTTTTATCTTTGGACCCGGCGCAGCCTGAGGCGAGTTCGAGAATGGGGAAGTGATCTTTTTGGCGTCTGGGCAGCCCAACTTGCAATGCACCTTTTTCCGGTTACCTGCAACGCAGAAGCCTCTACTTAACCAGAGGCAGCCAGCCAGGGCGCGCACACCACTTGTTTGAACCCGCATCTCATGCCGGGTGCGAACCTGGCTGTTGTTACCCCCAACAAAGCTGTAACCCAAAACCATGCTTGCCAGTGTTGGGTGGTGGTTTACTGCATACAGAGATGGTTTTTTAATCACACAAAAGAAGAGCACAAAGAAGTCGGTGCATCCCATGCAAATGAAATCAGACATCTTAGAAAACAATCAAAATGGGAACATGTAAGGTCAGATTCAGCTATGACCTCCAAGTAAGGTACTTTCCTTACCTGGAAACATTTAAGAAGACACCTCTCTCTCTCCCACTTGAGCCACTAAAGGTTCCAAACCCCCATCGGGCTTCTGTATGCTCAGATCTGCCAGCAGTTCTCTGAGCCACCTCTGTTTTTCTTCCTTAAAGCTCTCTGCACCCGGTTACAGCAGGTTGCTCTGATTTTCCCAATGCTCCATTTATGCCCTTGGGTTACTGGGATACAAAAGACTGGAACCCTGGGACTTTTCCTTGGAACAGAGGAGCAAAACCCCCAATGAAACCCACCCTGATGTTTTTCTGTATTGGGCTCTGAAACTGAAGATTACAGGATTTGTCTCGGACAGAATTAACATTACATGTGAAACTCTAGTGCACCGGTATATTGAAACACGTTGTATAGGACTGCTTGGAACATCTCTTCCAAACTGCCTTTAATAGCAACATGAGACTTTGAATAATGTTCTTTTAAAAATTATTTACTTGTTTAAAATGAAATGTAGCCACTGTTAGTTTTTCTAATGGAAGCAGTTACAAGGAAACTGAACCAAATCAGGAACTGAAGGAAGCTTCTGTATGCAGAAGTGTCTGGAGAGGAGGAGGAAAGAAGTATGCATTTGAAAGAACTCCACCATGCCGCAGTCTTCACAACTAAGGGAGGACCCACCCCCCCCAAGCTAAAGAGAATCAACCAGTCTTCCTCTCTAGAAAGCACTATGTTTTATGTTTAAAATCCAACTTGCTATTGACTGCAAACAAACAATAAGCAAATTCAAATAAAAGAGTCCTACCAAATCCAATCCATTTGTCAAAGATAAGTATAGATACTGCAACAACCAGACCACCATGGGGGAAAGGTGGCTTCAAATTTTGTATTTCCTCCTAGAGGGAAAATCAAACAGCATGTGTCTATGGCTAACTTTTATTCTTTTATCTCGTCCACCCCTTACTTTCAATTCGTAGTGGAAACAGCATTGGTGGGGGGGGGGGCGGGGCTCAAACAAACAAAAAGGTACCAAAAAGGAATCCCACAGAAAATTTAATGGTAAATTGGCAAAGTTTGAATTGATATCTGTTTCAGCATTACAAGGAAAAAAAGGTGTCCAAAAATCATATGGAATCCTCTGCTGCCTTATCTAGTTCCCTGGCCTTAATATGCCTACTGCAGGGGTGGGGAAGGGGTCTTTCATTAAAGTTTTCTTAGTCTACTTCCCATCACTAGAAGACATTTTCAGTCATGGGTTTCTATGAAAATGTCAGTTTCTAGTAGCCATAGGATTACAGATTGCTTTTTGTCCTTCCTGGACTGTTCATGAAGGGATCAGTATATGCTCCCTTGGGAGCTACAGAAAAGCAGTTAACTTACCCTGAGGACTTGCTAGCCCTCAGTCCCAGGTCTTGGAGTAAAGACTGAAAAGCATCCCTTAGGAGCCAAGTCCTGGGTAGGGTTAATGTTCTCTTTTAGTCCCTGCTCTCACTCTCTACCAAACTCTCCAGAGGATGTGGGCTACAGTGAAACCGGAAAATCACTGTCACAACCTTGAGTTGTTAAAATCTGTTCCTAGAACCAATAGACACATTTTAGGATCATGGTCCATTAATAAAAATCTCCTTAACATTCAAATGGCTCTAAAATGCGTTGATGGGG